TCTATTCTATTCTATTCTATTCTATTCTATTCTATTCTATTCTATTCTATTCTATTCTATTCCTATATTATCATATTCTATTCCTATATTATCCTATTCTCTATTCTCTATTCTTTTTCTATTCTTTTTCTGTTCTGTTCTTTTCTGTTTTTTCTATTCTAGTCTATTCTAGTCTATTCTAGTCTATTCTAGTCTATTCTATTCTATTCCCAGTTGAACAGTTGCCTTCAGAAGTTGTGGGTGTTCTATCACTGGAGATTTTTAAGAAGAGACTGGACCTGGCACATGTCTGAAATGGTATCGGGTCTTCTGCTTGAGCAGGGGGTTGGACTAGAAGACCTCTAAGGTCCCTTCTGCACTGTGCTTCTATTAGATGAATGATACATTGAGATAGGTAGGTAGATAGATAGGTGGGTGGGGAGAGAGAGAGAGAGGAAGAGAGAGAGAGGAAGAAAGAGAGGGAGAGAGAGAGAGAGGAAGGGAGGGGGGGGGGGAGGGAGAGAGAGAGAGAGATCAGCTTTCCTCTCAATTGTGGGTGCTCCATCACTGGAGGTTTTCCAGGAAAGAGTGGACAGCCCTTTGTCCAGGAGAGTATAGACCTCCAAGATCCCTCCCAACGTTGGTATTCTTTTATTCATTGAAATATTGTTCGCTCCTTTGCGGTCTCTGTGCTTGGTGGTTTCCTTGCAGACATTTCATGGCCCGTCATCAGGGCTAGCCAGTGATGTTACCTGGTTGGGCCGTGATGAAACGTCTGCAAGAAAACAGCCAACCTCAGGGAGCACCCAAGACTTCCTGTTTCCACCCTGAGCTGCAAATATTTTCTTTTATGGGTAAATCGTTTGCTAACTCTAGGAAGGCAAGCAGCAGTCACAGGTATCTGGGTCCGAAATTTTGGATGCCAGAGAACTGGAAGTCTGTGCTGCCACCTAGTGATGGACTGGAACGCTGCAGTCTGGATTCGGTGGCTTTTTTGCAAAGGGACAGCATAACTTAATTTTCCCATTTCCCACAGGTCACCAGGAGACCCTCCTAGGATCAGTTAATTTGGGGGGAGTAAAAGGGAAGAGGTCCAAAATTGAACCTTTAGAGGCGTGTTTTGCAATCTCCACAACTTTAAAATAATTCCAGTCCCCAGAATTCCCCTGCCTGCCGGTCCATATTTTAAGTTCTTGAACATCTTAAAAAGTTGCTGAGATTTGAGAAACGAGGCTGCAGAGCATAGACTTGTATAAAGGTTTGTGAGTTCTTTGTGTGCTGCGCTGGACAACTGGTGGCGGCACTGGAGGCTGCGTTCTTGTCTGTTGCAATAATGATTCCAGTCAAGTGGCATTATATTTGGGACCTTCAGATGGCTGATTTATGGACCTGTGATTTATGGCTGGATCTGGTGTGAAGCTTGACTGATTGACTGCCAGTTCCATGGCTCTAAATTTTGGTGACCCCTGAGGTTTAGTGCAGTGGTCGCTAACCAGTGGGCCAAGGACCACTGGTGGTCCAAGAGAAAATTTTGGTGGTCCGCGGAGAAATGTCCACCCCAAAGCGATTAATCCAGGCTGTGTGGGAACACAAGGCTGCTCCACCCACATGGCCCACGGGAACACAAGGATTGCGTCACTTGCATTGTGAACAACACGAGGTAGTGAGGAGAGGGGGGAAGGGCACAGGGGGTAAACTTGCCCCACTCACCCCAGGCGCCTAGCCTGGCCACCGGGCTGCTTCTCTCCGCTTCTTTCTTCTGCTTTTGGCTGCATGCATGGAAAGCAGCAGAAGTCTTTCTTTCTCTCCCCCAAACTCCGCCAGAAATGAGTCTTTGGGACCCTGCAAGGCCTCCCTGCTCCAAGAGGCTGCGCCGGCAAAGACTCATTTCTGGCAGAGTTTTGGGGAGAGAAAGAAAGATTTCTGCGGCTTCTGCTGCTTTCCTTGCATGAAGCCAAAAGTCTCTCTCCCCCTGAGAACGGAGCTGGAGACGGTATCCTGCGATCCCAAATAAAGAATGATCAATCGGTAGGTAAACGGGGTGGGGGATTTTCCTGCAGATTTTTTGGTGGATTTTCCCAGGGTCTCTGGTCTGCAGGATTTAAAATTATGACTTTGGTAGTCCCTGAGGTCCAAAAGGTTTGCGACCTCTGGTTTAGTGTGATTTTTAATCCTGGCTGTCCTGGATTCAAATTCTTTGGTCTATGACTCCATGCAAGGGATACCTGAAGCCTTCCCCCTTCCCTTTTAAGACCCTCAAAGCCACCCCTGTGCTTGTGGAAAATTTTGGGTGGTGGAAAGAAGAAACAAACTGCGGCAGAGGCTGTAAAATAGGACAACACGTAGCCCTCGATTTACGACCACAATTGAGCCCCCTAAATTTCTGTTGCTAAGCCAGACACTTGCTAAGTGAGTTCTGCCCCATTTTACAACCTTTTTTGGGGGGGGGAGGGGAGAAACAGTTGTTAAGCGACTCATTGGCAGCTGTTAAGTTAATAACACGGTTGTTAAGTAAATCCGGCTCCCCCTGTTGACTTTGCTTGTCCAAAGGTTGCAAAAGGGGATCGCATGGTCACGCTGCATCCGTCATAAATACGAGTCCACTGCCAAGTGACCGAATTTGGATCATGTGACTGTGGGGAGGTTGCAAAAGTCATTATCTGTGAAAAGTTCAAAGTTACAACATCATTCTCTCCCCCCCCCCCCCCCCCCCAATAATTTTTTATTTTATTTTTATTACAAATTATTTTTATTATCTTCTTCCAATTTGACGGCGTGTTTTCTGGTTATAAATATTTTGTGCAATGCAGTTAATGTTTACAATCATATTCATTACATAGTTTTATTCTCTAGACTTATCTTATTATACTTATTGCACTTAATATCACATCTCTTTATCTTTCATCTTAGCTTATTTATGCCTTATCGGTGAAAAATATCTATTGTCCTTCTTAACTCATCCATTAATTATATCTGGCTCTCATATTTTCTCTCTAACCGTCGATAGAATAGTTCCCATACCTTATAATATTCCATTTGCTCTCCCTCTTTAATTGCAATTCTGCACATTCTAATATTTTCCTAATCACATTCTTTTCAGCTCCTTTTTCCAATTTTGAGTAAATACAATTCTCACCGCAGTTATCGCCTGAATAATTAAGCATACAGTTTCTTTACTGTAAGCTTCAGGTAAGATCCCCAAACAGGAATATTTCTGGTTTTAAGTCAATACGTTGTTGTATCATTTCCTCTAGCCACGAGTGTGTTTTTTGTCCCTTTTTTGGACTTAATTACACAACATCGTTCTTCAGCGATGTTGTAACTTAGAACAGTCACTAACAAAGTTGCACGTCGAGGCCTGCCTGTGTGCGGGACCCTTAATTTTGTCTCTCTTCCACAACCATCAGCAGGAGGGGGGGGACGACCTACCCCTTCTCGTCCCCACGGAGCGGCTGGTTAGGGAGACGGTGGGTGTTGCAGTGCTTGTGACCTGAGCCAGATCCCCCTAACTCTCACGACCACCCCCTCTCTTGCCCCACAGAGACCGGCGAGAGCGGCATCGCTCCAAAAGTCGAGATGGCAGCCGTGGGGACAAGTCGGTCACCATCCAGGCCCCCGGAGAGCCCCTGCTGGACAACGAGTCAACCCGAGGGGACGAAAGGGTGAGTGGGCAGATGGGCCTGGAGCCGGCTTGGAGCCTCGCTCTTGCCTCCTGGGGGGGGGCAGGGTTTGGGCCTCCCCAGGGATGAAATGGAGGGGTCTCTTGGTGGAGTTTGGGGAGGCTTCCCTACACGGGTGTATCTCCATCCATCCCCTTTATCCATCCATCCATCCAATTTCTCCATCCATCCATTCATCCATCCCATTTCTCCACCCATCCCAATTCTCCATCCATTCATCCATCCCCTTCATCCATCCATCCATCCAATTTCTCCATTCATCCGTCCCATTTCTCCATCCATCCATCCAATTTCTCCATCCATCCATCCAGTTTCTCCATCCATCCATCCATTCATCCGTCCCATTTATCCATCCATCCAATTTCTCCATCCACCCATCCCATTTATCCATCCATCCATCCAGTTTCTCCATCCATCCATCCATTCATCTGTCCCATTTCTCCATCCATCCAATTTCTCCATCCATCCATCCATCCATCCATCCCATTTCTCCATCCATCCATTCATCCGTCCCATTTATCCATCCATCCATCCCATTTATCCATCCATCCAATTTCTCCATCCATCCGTCCCATTTATCCATCCATCCGTCCCATTTCTCCATCCATCCAATTTCTCCATCCATCCATCCATCCATCCATCCAATTTCTCCATCCATCCATCCATCCATCCATCCGTCCCATTTCTCCATCCACCCGTCCCATTTCTCCATCCATCCATCCAGTTTCTCCATCCATCCATCCACCCGTCCCATTTCTCCATCCATCCATCTCTTCTCTCCCTCTCCCTATCATCTCCTGGGAGAGAGGCTGACTGGGGAGGCTTAAGGGCTCCTGCCCGTCCAGCTGGGGTCCCGGCCTGGTGCCACAGACACACCCTTTGCACCCGCAGAGTTCACCTCTCCTGACCAGGGGACCCCAGTTCTTTTCCCACCGATTGCTGCTGTCTCCCCGCTTTGACCCCCTCCCCCATAATGGCCTTTTGGTGTCCCGGCAGGACGACAACTGGGGTGAGACGACCACCGTGGTGACCGGCACATCGGAGCACAGCATTTCGCACGATGACATCACGCGCATCACGAAGGACATGGAGGACAGCGCCCACCTGGACTGCTCCCGCCACCTGGGGGTCTCGCTGGCGGGGGCCCTGGCCCTGCTCTCCTTCCTCACCCCCATCGCCTTCATGCTGCTGCCCCAGCTGCTGTGGGGGGAGCAGCTGAGCCCCTGCGGGACCCCCTGCGAGGGCCTCTTCATCTCGGTGGCCTTTAAGCTGCTCATCCTCCTGCTGGGCAGCTGGGCGCTCTTCTTCCGCCGCCCCAGGGCCTTCCTGCCCCGCATCTTCGTCTTCCGCGCCCTCCTGATGGTGCTGGTCTTCCTCCTGGTGGCCTCCTACTGGCTCTTCTACGGCGTCCGCATCCTGGACTCCCGCGACACCAACTACCAGGGCATCGTCCAGTACGCCGTCTCGCTGGTGGACGCCCTGCTCTTTGTCCACTACCTGGCCGTGGTCTTGCTAGAGCTGCGACAGCTCCAGCCCCACTTCACCCTCAAGGTGGTGCGCTCCACCGATGGGGCCAGCCGCTTCTACAACGTGGGGCACCTCAGGTAAGGGCAGCGGAGGGTCAGGGGCTTGGGGGCATTTCGGTGCGGTTCAGGGACAGGCGGGGGCGGCTGACGGAAGCTGGGATTGACCCGAGGGCGCAGCACAGAGGCAATCCAGGCAGCTGGCAGTTCAAACTGTTCCTTTATTGCTCCAAATTTCCCCCAATGCTCCCACTTTTTTTTCTGGCAAGTCCCAGAGCAAAGTGTTGATACACATATACACACAAACACCCGTCAAGCAGCCTCTGGCTGCAAATAGTCCAGCCCAACGCTGTGAGCACCACGGCTGCACAGCAAGAACTCCAGCACAGCAGGTCGAGGAATCCGGGAAGCAAAGGAGGCAGGCAAGTAATCCAGAAATCCAGAAAGAATGCAAGGAATCCAGGAAAGTTCAAACGTCGGCATTCAACACCCCAGGAATTCAGCGTTCGTTCCCGATAAATGCCCCTCCCCACATCGTCTCCTTAAGTCTCAGTCCCCAGGTGTGCCTTGTGGAGAGGGGTGGGGCGCTCTCCTCCCGAGTAGTTGGCTCAGTCTGAGCTGTTCTCACCTTCTCTCCACTCTTTGTGCTCTCGGATCAGGAGGCGGCGGTCCTTTCTCATTGCCTGAGCTCTGTCTCTGAAGTTCACTACTTAGCCTCGGTTGGTCATCCTGCCTCCCTTCCTACAAGTAGCCCCAAATCCTGAAAGGCTCTGGCCTAACGGGGCCTGCTCCTCACCATTTTCCTCCCAAGGAAACGAAGCTGCCCCCTCAATCTGTCGGCTCCCGTTTGGGCTCGGCGTCTTCCACAAGATTCAGGCTCCGATGAGGGGATGACAGTAGCCGCTTTTTGCAAATTGAACGATGGGGATTTTGTCAGTGCCGTTGGTGCTCAATCGGTCCTCCAGGTGTTTGGGGATTGGAACCCAAGATGCTTACGATTATCTTTGCCTGCTTCTGCCACAGTCGTTCTATTTCTACAAGTAGTCCTCAGCTTACCACAGCTCATTCACAGGCATGATATTTTTCCGATTAAAATCGGAATTCCGATTTTTTTTGGAATCGCCCGGGTGGTGTGAGTGGAGCCCGGGCGAGCGGCGGGCGGGGCGGTCGGTGCGAGCGGTGGGCGCACGCGGGCGCGAG